TGACCAATATGATGTTGAATATCCGTCATAAATTCTTTTAACAATAAATTGTTGTGAACAAATTTTGGTTTCACATTTTGCGAATGTTATGTTTTGCTGTTAAAATCGTCTGTTTCAATAAGAAAATTACGAAAATGTCCCGAAACGTTTTATGAACGCTATCATTTGCGTATTTGTTCGTTAGGTTTGTCATCTCATCACCAAACCCGTTAGGATATCAAAATCATCACTAAACACATCACATCGATATACACTCTACGTATCTTAGGGTTATCGGCCCACAGGTTTGTCTGGATCGATATGTAGGTCACGATGTGTTCATACGCAAAATGTGTGCGAAAAGGCTTCATTGAGTGGTATTTCCTCATTCACCAATCATAATCAAGCAATTTTCAGTGTCATAGTAGAATTATGATCAACCTACTGTGTCTTAAAATTTGTTGCCGTCTCACTGTAGATTCCATTCTGGTTCCTTCTCTCAATGACATGTGACCTACGCCAGCGATTCTCCTTACGACAAGGTGTGGTGCTGAATTCTAAACGTTCCCCAATATCTGTTTTTTTATGTATCCGACAAAAAGCAACAGCGACCTCGGACTTCATCCTGTATCAATTTGCCTCCCCTTCACTAACCCGCAAGTTGCGATGACCACGCCTCTCTATGGATACGAACATGTACATGAATATCCATGGTCAGAAGCTGAAAGGTCAAGTCTGCACTGAACCGTTGTCCATCAGTCAAACATATACCGGCTTATTGTAACCGTTAGAAAGATATTATGATTCCGATGAATTCTACCAAAACTATCATCGTACAATAGGTTCTAGAAATAGAGGCTTATATATATCAACATTCCAAACAGAAAGATATTTTATCTTGCCAAAACATTTCTATTTCCAATACAAACGGTGACATCAGTACACAAATAATAACTTCAGCGATGCACGCTTGTTGTTCGTTAAATAGACGGAGAAGATATGATGTGTACATAATTTTAGTGAGTGAGTGAGTGAGTTGTGTTTAACGCCGCTTTTGCCAGGGACATCAGTACGATCAAGGAAGTATAATAACGTGCTATCTGGAAACACGGTAGATTGACAGCTCATCTACTTCACGTCACCAGACCATCCTGACACGAGGGACATATCAGACAGACCGACAAACAGGGGTATTATTTATCAAGAGGAGAGTGAGTTTGGTTTAACGCCGCTTTTAACATTATTCCAGTTATATCCCGGCGTGGCAGCTTAGTGTGGGAGGAAAGCCCGAAGTGATGCAGGTCTCAGACGTTTACCACTTCGGTGAAACCCGCGAGCACGGTTATGGTGCTGACAAACCTAGAAACATAATCGGGGCCACCCGGAATCAAACCTACAATCATAGGTTACTGGCGTGCCCAAGGGACGCAATTCTGCACAGCGAATCGCGGCGCCTTAGACCACTAGGCCACCCGTGCCCCCACATAATGCTAGTGCTCTCTCAGAAATGAAATGTTACGGTAAAATATCCGTCTGTCACACTCTGTGTCCTTGCATTCCGACTAGTCCATAGGACAGTGGCCTTGCACATAAGAATATTTCTCGTGCATACATTCGTTAATAAAAACGTATCAAATGGGTTCAAGTTTGTAGATTATGAATGTAATTTCTTAACTCGCCGTTTGTTGTCAATGTTTCCCCAATGTCCCGTACACATGAACTGATTCTTATTGAGCTACAGTAAACTACGGTTATAACGAACTCAAAGGGACTACTAATTTTAGTTCGTTATAACCGTAATTCGTTATAAGCATATATACAGTATAACTACAGCAATTAGTCGGGACTAAAAAGTTAGTTCGTTATATCCGTAAGTTCGTTATAAGGGTGTTCGTTACAACCGTAGTTTTCTGTATATGGCTTAATTACTTATATAGGGACAGGTAACATCAAGATATGTGATTCCGGTTATGTCGATGTGAAAATAGTCCCTCGTGTAACTCAGAATTATAATCAGTTCAAATCTATGGTCTCAGATTAGAGATGGCATTGATAGATGCACGTTTGGCGATTTTACCACAAGTTCGATAGTCAATCAGTGTCTGGTCACGTGGTAAAATGTCTGCCTGAACGTGCATTCTAAACTGTCGACATTGATGATTGCTGCAGAGACGTCGTGTTCAACCCACTCTATTTATAGCAAGGGTGTGTTTTAGATTATGGAGAAAGTGTTGTATAGCTGATTCAAGTTCACTCAGATGACACATTTTGACAGGCATCAAGATAAGTTTTCGTTACGAAAACCTGCAAAATCGGCAAATGTTCAATACATAAGATAATGACCAAAGTCAACTGGTTTCTGGTCAATAACTGACAAAACTGATGGATTTCAATACACTTACATTACAGACGAATGTTGTTGGTTTTTTTTATATAATTGAATAAGATGCAGTGCGTGTACATATTTTACAAATGTATGTAATCAGTATAATATCGGAAGATGTGGTCATTGGGATGAATCATCACTAAGTTTAAGCAGCATTTGCAATTTCTTTTGGGTAATCCCGTTTCAAAGTACACGCATTTTCAAATCATGACTGACTACAAAAACTGCAACGTTAACATATTTAGATACAGCTTATCAAATGAATCATTCAGATATCCCAGATAGAGGGCACAATATAACAAGTGGTGGAGCTGAAGTTCTGTTTATCTTTACTGAAGTGAGTCATGATGTGTATGCAGTCCATCGTGTCATGTTCGAATAGTAGTTACTGTAATGAAAGACTTCACCTACAGCCAAAGGTCAAAATATAATCCTTGCTAGAGAACCCATGTATCACTTGTACTGGACAGTCACCAACATTCATAGTGGTTCCCTCTTTAATCATACATGTTACCAATTAGAACAGTATATAAGATCTGTTTGTTTGTTGTGCAACGCCGCACTCAGAAATATTCCATCAGTCTAAACCAGACGATCTAGTGATTGACATCATGAGCATCAACCCATGCAATTGGGATACGATGACATGGATCAACCAAGTCAGCGAGCCTGACCACCCGATCCCGTTAGTTGCCTCTTACGACACGTGTTGGTTACGAAAGACCTATTCTACCCTGGATCTTCACGGGTCAGTATGTATCATGTATTGTTGCCATCATGTAGATCACAAACACGGGGAGTTCACTCAAATGTATGTATACTCTTCAAAAAAAGAAACTTGACATAGATGTAAAACCACTTTTTGCCAAATATCTAAAATAATTACATTAAATGAGAACCAAAAAAGTCAAACAGAAAGATGATGTGTCTATAATTCGCGAAAACACATGCAAAGCACATAAACGTAGCGTTTGGGGATCAATTTTACAGCTTCATCCAAACGCAACCGCCTGTAAAAGACGTGCAGCACAGGATCCTGCATTTAGGCATGCAGGCCCCCCTGCTGAATGGGTATAAAACTCCACATCAACGGCTGTTCATACAGTCCTTATAACGGCAGTAGAGGCGGTGACAGAATGCCAAGACTGAATGCAGCTCAACTGAACAACGCCATTGGGAGATTACAAGCTGGAGCAACTCAGCAAGAAGTGGCCAGGCACTTTGGCTATCCAGACAGACAATCTCCGCACTGTGGACCCGATACAACAACACCAACAGAGTTGACGACAGACCAAGGTCAGGAAGACCAAGGGTGACAACCCAAGCACAAGATCATTACATCCGGCTGCGACACCTCCGAGACCGCACTACCACAGCCACGTCTACAACCACACAGATCACTGGGGTACGCAGAATATCGGATCAAACGGTACGCAACAGACTGAGGGAGGCTGGACTTTTTGCACGAAGCCCTGTTCGACCTCATGTATTGACCCCACGTCATCTGGTTAGATGGGCACGTGCAAGTTGGAGAAATGTACTGTTTACTGACGAGTCCCGTTTCCTACTCACATGTGCTGATGGGCGCGCACGTGTAACATACGTCGGGGTGCACGTTACGCCCCCAACTGTGTGCAGCAGGTTGTCCTATTTGGCGGCGGGAGTGTCATGGTATGGGCCGGAATTCATCACGGTGGTAGGACGCCTCTCGTGCATGTGGCAGGTGCATTGACAGGTGTGCGTTACACAGACTTGATCCTACAGCCTTACGTTCTTCCTCACGTCAACGTTCATGGCGGACAGTTCCAGCAGGACAACGCTCGACCGCATATTGCACGTGTTTTTCAGGACTTCTTACAGCACAACAACATCCAGACATTACCTTGGCCAGCCCGGTCACCAGATTTGTCCCCGATTGAGCATCTGTGGGACGAGTTGGATCGACGCGTTCGCAGAAGGAATCCACCGCCCCAAACACTTCCGGCGCTTCCTGATGCACTTCAGCATGAATGGCTGCACATCCAACAGCGTGTTATTGACAACTTTATTGCATCTATGGGTCGTCGGTGTCAAGCAGTGATTGATGCACGTGGTGGGCACAACCGATACTGACATTTTCTGTACCCCTATGACATTAACTGTATCGTGTACGAGTGTCTGTCTAGGTGACACGATTAATGTTTTGAACATTGTGTACATTGATCTTCAAACAGTGTTTCAATTATGGTTTCTGTGTCCCATTTTGAAACAATCGCATTATATTACATTTTGAAATTCAGTGTCAAGTTTCTTTTTTTTAAGAGTATATTTTAATCTTGTCTACCTGTCCCTTTTATCTGCATGTAACCTACAATGATATCTACTCTGTAGCTCTCTATATCTCGGACAGACCCAATCATTTCACCGTGTGGGATGTATTCAAGCACCTTACTTGTACAAACGTGAGTTGTATGAGTCATGCCAGGCACATCAGTACCATCAAGGAAGTATGATAACGTGCTATCTGGAAACACGGTAGATTGAAAGCTCATCTACTTCACGTCACCAGACCATCCTGACACGAGGGGCATATCAGACAGACCGACAAACAGGGGTATTATTTAACATGAGGTGAGTGAGTTTGGTTTAACGCCGCTTTTAATATTATTCCAGTTATATCACGGCGTGTCAGCTTAATGTAGGAGGAAAGCCCGAAGGTCTCGGAAACACCGGTCTCGATTCTTTACAAGAATATGTACATGTAGGTACCATAACTATTTGTATCCACCAAATCGAAGGCTTTCTTGAAATTAATGAAAGCATAATGCCACCATCCAGTTTGTTATATACAGTTCGAGAGCAATGAACGTAAATTGTACATATTATCAATAGTCAAATAATTAGAGCAGGAACCAGTTTGACATTCCAAAATCAAATCATTGTTTCCATGTTCTCAAATCCGGTAGTATTTCGTACTCCCCGGGAGCCTTGCCGAGTTTCAGACTGCTAACGGAATCTTCATCTGATAAAAACATTCAATTTAAGACACACAAAACAAAAGTTTTCACAAGAATGGTTCATATATAAAGAAACTGAGATACAGAGTGATCAAGTTCAGACAAATCTTCGCAGAACTAATAAAAGAAGTATGATAACATGATATCTGGACATACGTAGATTGACGGCTCAGTTGACTGTCTCCCCACCCGATAGACAGTGTTGTATTCGTTGTTATTCACTTCACAGCTGTGCATTGATTAAGTGACACACAGAATCACTATAAGCCAGGTCAAGTATATAACCTGTTCATCCTCGCAGGTAGGTCGTGGCATGTTGATATGATGCCACACAAGTGGCAGTAACGAATCCCCTTACTGGTGTGAACACAACTTTCCGGTGATCATGACGCCCAGTCTGCCTGCTTCTGCTTCGGAGTTTTTAATACATTTCGCCTTTTTTCTGTCTGCTTATGCAGTTGTTATCGTGTCCACACCTTTTATCACTTCAGTGACAACACTGAAGATCCCTTCAGTTGTTTACTCAGGGGATTAATCACTGACAGGCATTTATTGAGTGGTATCAGGCTGAGGGAATCTGGTCTTTTATTACCTAAACAGGATGTTAGTAACGCAAGTTACCGATTGTTAATTGTTATTTTGTTATTTTAATTATGTACAATGTCAGGATCAAAGTTATTTTGTGGGATTTACAGAAATAGCAGAAACATGATATGCATAACGGCTGATAATCACAACATAGATAAATAGAAAAATATATAGATAAATAGATAAACGCGGCAAACAAATCAGCCAATGAAAACAGCTGTCAACACTGCGCCGGAAGCTGTAGGCCACGCCCCCAAATAGCTTTGAGTTGGAAGCCAGTTACGAGAGGTATGATTTCAACACTTTCACTCGAACATTTAAATACTAAATAAATAAATATTATGAATTTCTCAGAAACTAACTAAATGCATCTACGAAAATTGATAAATAATAATAACAATAATAATTGTTTCAATTTACTTGCCCTTTAAGGAATGTGTGTTGTTTAATACTTATAGTATGCAACCCCCAAGGTACTTAAGGAGTGTGTGTTGTTAAATACTTATAGTATGCAACCACCAATGTACTGAAGGAATGTGTGTTGTTTAATACTTAGAGTATGTAACCACCAAGGTACTTAAGGAGTGTTTGTTGTTAAATACTTATAGTATGCAACCACCAATGTACTTAAGGAATGTGTGTTGTTTAATACTTAGAGTATGTAACCACCAAGGTACTTAAGGAGTGTTTGTTGTTAAATACTTATAGTATGCAACCACGAATGTACTGAAGGAATGTGTGTTGTTTAATACTTAGAGTATGTAACCACCAAGGTACTTAAGGAGTGTTTGTTGTTAAATACTTATAGTATGCAACCACCAATGTACTGAAGGAATGTGTGTTGTTTAATACTTAGAGTATGTAACCACCAAGGTACTTAAGGAGTGTTTGTTGTTAAATACTTATAGTATGCAACCACCAATGTACTGAAGGAATGTGTGTTGTTTAATACTTAGAGTATGTAACCACCAAGGTACTTAAGGAGTGTTAGTTGTTAAATACTTATAGTATGCAACCACCAATGTACTGAAGGAATGTGTGTTGTTTAATACTTAGAGTATGTAACCACCAAGGTACTTAAGGAGTGTTTGTTGTTAAATACTTATAGTATGCAACCACCAATGTACTGAAGGAATGTGTGTTGTTTAATACTTAGAGTATGTAACCACCAAGGTACTTAAGGAGTGTTTGTTGTTAAATACTTATAGTATGCAACCACCAATGTACTGAAGGAATGTGTGTTGTTTAATACTTAGAGTATGTAACCACCAAGGTACTTAAGGAGTGTTTGTTGTTAAATACTTATAGTATGCAACCACCAATGTACTGAAGGAATGTGTGTTGTTTAATACTTAGAGTATGTAACCACCAAGGTACTTAAGGAGTGTTTGTTGTTAAATACTTATAGTATGCAACCACCAATGTACTGAAGGAATGTGTGTGGTTTAATACTTAGAGTATGTAACCACCAAGGTACTTAAGGAGTGTTTGTTGTTAAATACTTATAGTATGCAACCACCAATGTACTGAAGGAATGTGTGTTGTTTAATACTTAGAGTATGTAACCACCAAGGTACTTAAGGAGTGTTTGTTGTTAAATACTTATAGTATGCCACCACCAATGTACTGAAGGAATGTGTGTTGTTTAATACTTAGAGTATGTAACCACCAAGGTACTTAAGGAGTGTTTGTTGTTAAATACTTATAGTATGCAACCACCAATGTACTGAAGGAATGTGTGTTGTTTAATACTTAGAGTATGTAACCACCAAGGTACTTAAGGAGTGTTTGTTGTTAAATACTTATAGTATGCAACCACCAATGTACTGAAGGAATGTGTGTTGTTTAATACTTAGAGTATGTAACCACCAAGGTACTTAAGGAGTGTTTGTTGTTAAATACTTATAGTATGCAACCACCAATGTACTGAAGGAATGTGTGTTGTTTAATACTTAGAGTATGTAACCACCAAGGTACTTAAGGAGTGTTTGTTGTTAAATACTTATAGTATGCAACCACCAATGTACTGAAGGAATGTGTGTTGTTTAATACTTAGAGTATGTAACCACCAAGGTACTTAAGGAGTGTTAGTTGTTAAATACTTATAGTATGCAACCACCAATGTACTGAAGGAATGTGTGTTGTTTAATACTTAGAGTATGTAACCACCAAGGTACTTAAGGAGTGTTTGTTGTTAAATACTTATAGTATGCAACCACCAATGTACTGAAGGAATGTGTGTTGTTTAATACTTAGAGTATGTAACCACCAAGGTACTTAAGGAGTGTTTGTTGTTAAATACTTATAGTATGCAACCACCAATGTACTGAAGGAATGTGTGTTGTTTAATACTTAGAGTATGTAACCACCAAGGTACTTAAGGAGTGTTTGTTGTTAAATACTTATAGTATGCAACCACCAATGTACTGAAGGAATGTGTGTTGTTTAATACTTAGAGTATGTAACCACCAAGGTACTTAAGGAGTGTTTGTTGTTAAATACTTATAGTATGCAACCACCAATGTACTGAAGGAATGTGTGTTGTTTAATACTTAGAGTATGTAACCACCAAGGTACTTAAGGAGTGTTTGTTGTTAAATACTTATAGTATGCAACCACCAATGTACTGAAGGAATGTGTGTTGTTTAATACTTAGAGTATGTAACCACCAAGGTACTTAAGGAGTGTTTGTTGTTAAATACTTATAGTATGCAACCACCAATGTACTGAAGGAATGTGTGTTGTTTAATACTTAGAGTATGTAACCACCAAGGTACTTAAGGAGTGTTTGTTGTTAAATACTTATAGTATGCAACCACCAATGTACTGAAGGAATGTGTGTTGTTTAATACTTAGAGTATGTAACCACCAAGGTACTTAAGGAGTGTTTGTTGTTAAATACTTATAGTATGCAACCACCAATGTACTGAAGGAATGTGTGTTGTTTAATACTTAGAGTATGTAACCACCAAGGTACTTAAGGAGTGTTTGTTGTTAAATACTTATAGTATGCAACCACCAATGTACTGAAGGAATGTGTGTTGTTTAATACTTAGAGTATGTAACCACCAAGGTACTTAAGGAGTGTTTGTTGTTAAATACTTATAGTATGCAACCACCAATGTACTGAAGGAATGTGTGTTGTTTAATACTTAGAGTATGTAACCACCAAGGTACTTAAGGAGTGTTTGTTGTTAAATACTTATAGTATGCAACCACCAATGTACTGAAGGAATGTGTGTTGTTTAATACTTAGAGTATGTAACCACCAAGGTACTTAAGGAGTGTTTGTTGTTAAATACTTATAGTATGCAACCACCAATGTACTGAAGGAATGTGTGTTGTTTAATACTTAGAGTATGTAACCACCAAGGTACTTAAGGAGTGTTTGTTGTTAAATACTTATAGTATGCAACCACCAATGTACTGAAGGAATGTGTGTTGTTTAATACTTAGAGTATGTAACCACCAAGGTACTTAAGGAGTGTTTGTTGTTAAATACTTATAGTATGCCACCACCAATGTACTGAAGGAATGTGTGTTGTTTAATACTTAGAGTATGTAACCACCAAGGTACTTAAGGAGTGTTTGTTGTTAAATACTTATAGTATGCAACCACCAATGTACTGAAGGAATGTGTGTTGTTTAATACTTAGAGTATGTAACCACCAAGGTACTTAAGGAGTGTTTGTTGTTAAATACTTATAGTATGCAGTCACCAATGTACTGAAGGAATGTGTGTTGTTTAATACTTAGAGTATGTAACCACCAAGGTACTTAAGGAGTGTTTGTTGTTAAATACTTATAGTATGCAACCACTAATGTACTGAAGGAATGTGTGTTGTTTAATACTTAGAGTATGTAACCACCAAGGTACTTAAGGAGTGTTTGTTGTTAAATACTTATAGTATGCAACCACCAATGTACTGAAGGAATGTGTGTTGTTTAATACTTAGAGTATGTAACCACCAAGGTACTTAAGGAGTGTTTGTTGTTAAATACTTATAGTATGCAACCACCAATGTACTGAAGGAATGTGTGTTGTTTAATACTTAGAGTATGTAACCACCAAGGTACTTAAGGAGTGTTTGTTGTTAAATACTTATAGTATGCAACCACCAATGTACTGAAGGAATGTGTGTTGTTTAATACTTAGAGTATGTAACCACCAAGGTACTTAAGGAGTGTTTGTTGTTAAATACTTATAGTATGCAACCACCAATGTACTGAAGGAATGTGTGTTGTTTAATACTTAGAGTATGTAACCACCAAGGTACTTAAGGAGTGTTTGTTGTTAAATACTTATAGTATGCAACCACCAAGGTACTTAAGGAATGTGTGTTGTTTAATACTTAGAGTATGTAACCACCAAGGTACTAAAGGAGTGTTTGTCGTTAAATACTTATAGTATGCAACCACCAATGTACTGAAGGAATGTGTGTTGTTTAATACTTATAGTATGCAACCACCAAGGCACTTAAGGTGTGTGTGTTGTTTAATACTTATAGTATGCAACCACCAAGGTACTTAAGGAGTGTGTGTTGTTTAATACTTATAGTATGCAACCACCAAGGTCCTTAAGGAATGTGTGTTGTTTAATACTTATAGTATGCAACCGCCAAGGTCCTTAAGGAATGTGTGTTGTTTAATACTTATAGTATGAAACCACCAAGGTACTTAAGGAATGTGTGTTGTTTAATACTTATAGTATGCAACCACCAAGGTACTTAAGGAATGTGTGTTGTTTAATACTTATAGTATGCAACCACCAAGGTACTTAAGGAATGTGTGTTGTTAAATACTTACACAATCAACACAGTGCTTAAGGAGTGTTTTTTGTTAAATACTCACGAAATCAACACGGTGCTTATGGGGTGTGTGTTAAATACCTAAACAATCAACACAGTGTGTGTTGTTTAATAAAAAAAAATAAAGCATCACGGTGCTCTAGGAATGTGTATTGTTTAAAACTAAATCATACAACCATCACGGTGTTTAAGGACTGTTATAATGCATGTTATACTGGTTGTTTAATGTTCGTCATTCTCTGAATGTCTTGATTTGTCTCCAAGGCGGAATCACCAGGGTTCGATTTGAACATTTATACCTCTTCTTGTTTTTAACCTTAGCTATATAATGATCACGGTGCTTTAGGGGTGTGTTTGGACATTTATACCATATCTAACACCTATTTTAATCTAGCAGTTGATCAGCAAGTCCCAAAACAAAGTATCATTTTGAATTATTGTTCAAATTGAGAGCAAAGTCCGCGCACGTTCTGTGATTATTACATTTATAGTATTGACCTGTGGAAAGACATGCTAAATTTTGTCTTGATCATATATAGCGTGCAGAACTATTCTTAATTGTTATGTTCTTTCGTCAATATAAGTTGTAGCAGAACCAGTCGTGGTACATTGGGTCTTTTATACGTCCCGCGTTAGGGTTTATACCACGGACCGGGACGTGCGGCTTTCTGTTTCAAAGGATAAAAGGGATTTATTCTGCCTCACAAATCCACCTGCGGACTGACTTGCTCGTGGCTGAGTATTTATATCTATTCTCCAACTGAGAAAATAATTTCCCGCTCAGGCGGGATAAAAACTATTTTATCAAGATCACGTGAACCAATCAGATCTCATCATTCTGACATAGAGGTATGATAATTGTATTTTGTATGTTATTCTTTAATTCACCGCCTCCGTGGTCTAGTGGTAGAGCGTCCGCCCGGAGAGCGGAAGGTCGGGGGTTGGATCCCCGTCCGCTTTATGCCAAAAGACGTTGAAAGATGGTACTTGTTGTTACCTTGTCTGGCACTCGGCATTAATGTACTGGTCGGTTCGGAGTCAGTATACTGTGTCTCAGTGGGGTATTCATGTTAAACTGCGGCATGGCATCCCAGTGGGTTGGACTCTAAATCGGCATGAGTTCGGACTAGTACAGGGGCGGTCGGGTAGCCTAGTGGTTAAAGCGTTCGCTCGTCACGCCGAAGACCCGGGTTCGATTCCCGACATGGGTACAATGTGTGAAGCCCATTTCTGCTGTCCCCCGCCGTGATATTGCTGGAATATTGCTAAAAGCGGCGTAAAACCAAACTCACTCACACTCACTCGGACTAGTACAGGCAGTCACACACACATAAGTCGCTATACAAGTTCAGTAATCTGGGACCCGACGTTAAAGGGCAAGTTCACACGGAAATTAACCTATTTTTCTTGTACTTTTTCCACATTAAAAGTGTTAACCTAGAAGTGTCATAGACAAAAATATAAAAATATCACAATTAATTAACATATTTTTCGCATTAAAACGATTTATATTTTTCACATTTACCAAATGTTCTATTTCCACAACAAAAACACCATGGCTTATGTCCCTTGCAATATGACGTCATTGGTGCCAATTGATAAACATTATGACGTCATCATGCTTTGTTAGAGCCGCTTCACGTGGTGTAGGTCTAGGTGTGTGATTCTAGCGTCTCAGATGCCAGCCAGCATAGTGTTATGCTGAGTCACCACTGCGCCGGAGTGTGTCGTAGGCCATGTTGTTTTACCGCAAACTGGTACTTGATATCTTTTGCGTTGAGTATAGACAGGGACCCAGTTGAATTGGCACCAATTACGTCATAATCTAAGGGGGATAACTCAGGCCTGTTTAGCTCGAAAAACGAAGGCCTCATAACGGCATATCATTTTTACACTATTGTGAGCTTCCTACTTTCACTGTGAAAAAAATGAGTGTATATTTTCAAACACAGATACTAATTAATTCTAAAATTGCGTTTTGTTTAGAAAAAGAAAGAAAATGATTTTTGCGTGTACACTTCCCCTTTAAACACCATTTCCATTTTTTGTCTAATGTTTATTATAGGTCCTCGTGAGTACAAGAAAATTGCTGACCACGACCATTAACAAGAAACAAATTAAACCGACTTTTTAGAGATTTCAATTCGTTTTTGGCTGCCATTAATTTGTACTGTGTCATTTCAGTTGGTTACTACGGAGCCATACACTGTTCTTGTCCAGAGATATCATCTGAACTAACGATGTTCCGAGCACCATATCTGCCGAACGGGGATGTCCCGGGCCAAGGGGTCGATAACCGTTCATATTGTGACAGCGACATGACGTACGATGAGAGTAACCATGGACTGGATGATACGTTTGATGAAGATGCGGAGGAGGGAGAGGAGGACCGAGTCAGCCATGATGACCTCGAGGAGGAGGATCACGAGACGTAAGTTGTGGCTCTCGAAACACATTCGACTCGGACATTTGTACATGCAGCCTTCCTGCAAATATACCGGATCTCACAGAATTTCTCACAATTTCAAATTATGTATAGGCTAGTGCACGAGGCCTAATCGGTGAAATTGTTAGTTGGGGTTCATGGCTTGGAAGAGTTCAATCCTTAACTGTGCTAACACTATGTGGGTCGATACTAAGAGATGCACGTGAACTGTGTTCGCTGAGCTTTTCGTTCTCATTCTTTCGCTCGAATCCCGCTGGCGACATGCGTCTTTCGTGAAACTGTTCATCGACGTAAATGATAGGGGGAAAATATGAAAAGTTGTGTGTTTACTAACAATTCAGTTGGTATATGCTCGGTCAAAGACAAAGGAGCCATGATTTAAAACACATTCTACCATGAATTTGGAAAATATTCGATTTTGATTGGTCAATTACAGAGGTCATCAAATCACAATAAACCCCCTCTCTGATTAAAACATCCCATTCGACGGTCGCACCATCGCGGAAGCTAAGCTTTTTAGAAATAGAAACAGTTTATTCTCCCCAAAACACAGTCGCTGGTACAAAAGAGTACAAAAGAAAAGCATGTATACATAAAGTATTAGTGTGTGACAAGATGACAGTATGTCATGCATGGATATATCTATACATTTTCTGTTTTCTGTTTTCGTACTGCTTTAAATATTTAATCGATATGTGCAAGTATGTCAGATTTCAAAGATTTAAACGGTTTGATTTTACTTTTATCTTTGATGCCCTTATGTTGCAGGTCTCAAATGAACTGGGATGTGTTCCGGGTAGTGCCCCGGAAGGAAGAACATGTACGCAATCTCCGTTTCTGGAACCGCGTGTATGTGGGTGTCCGAATCACATTATGCGGTGTTATTTTCCTCTTTGTCCTGGGTACTGGGACATTCACCAAGCTCTGCTTCCTCCTCATTGCCTACAACATGAACTACCACCACGCCGCCGGGGGAGACGCCCTGTCAGGTGCAGCAGAGGACGTGACTGTCAGAGTAGCGTGGATTTGGTCGATGCTAATCCTTATCACAGCGCCTTATGTCTTCACCATTTTGAGAAATATTTTCAGAGTCATCTTCAAGAAGCAGAAGCAGCTGCAGATAATTCCCTTCCTTGTGGTGAGAAGATGTTGATTTTGCAAAGATCGTAGATAAGTTTTGCAGTCTCTCCATTGTCAGCATTGAGATTAACTATTAAGGTTTTAAAAACATCCGGGCCAAAGTCTCTTTCAATGGTTACTTGACCCAAATTCAATTCAAGAATGCCTCAGTGGCCTGGTTTGGAGCGATACCGGTGTGGTTAACTTCATGCACTATTAAAATAGCCTGTGTCGAGCCAATTTTGACGTCTTTAAGTTCCGTCCGTAAGGCGTGCCATGATCTTGGGTTTGAGCCCCGTTCGTCATGATTAGGTTTCTATGTTTGTCCACACCATACTCATGCTCCGGGGTTTTACCACAGTGAAAAACTGTAAGATTTGCATTACATCTTTCTTTCCTCCCACACCAATCTGACACGCCCTGATATTTCTGAAATTATGTTTCTCGGGGCCTTAATCCCAGCTCACTCACTCTCATGGAGACCGCCTCCGTGGTCTAGTGGTAGAGCGTCCGCCCGGAGAGTGGAAGGTCCGGGGTTCGCTCCCCGGCCGCGTCTGCCAAAAGATTGTACTTGTTACCCTGTCTGACGCTCGGCATTAAGGGGCTAAAGCAAGGACTGGTCTGCTCGGAGTCAGTATACTGTGTCTGAGTGGGGTATTCATGTTAAACTGCGGCATGGTTTCTCAGTGAGCTAGCACTATAAATCGGCATCAGTCCGGACTAGTACAAGCAGGCACACACACACACACACGTGCATGCACGTCACTATATAAGTGCAATTATCTTGGACGCGACGTTAAACCCAATTTCACCTCACCTCACTCTCATGAAATATTTTGTCTGTCTGCATTTATCCGAAACACTGCAGAACCGATCAATTAAGTATGTATAGATGATATTGGCAAATGAAAGTTGGTACAATTACGTACAATCGATCTCAATTTCTTTTCGTTTTTTTGCAACAGGTCATGCTGTTTGAGACCTGTCACACTCTCGGTCTGTGCATATTCGTGTTCTTGGTTGCTCCAACCTTCGATCCTGTCATGGTCTTACTGTTGTGTCAGGGAGTGGGGTTCGTGCCCGCATTCAACAAAATATTTTGGACTCGAAAAGAAAATGCAAACAAAGAAAATAGCCACGAAGCATTTGCGTCTCCATTTTGGAGGTCAGTATCTGTAATAACTTTTATACTTCAAGGAGTTTTCATAGGTGTGTCAACTTGGAAGGGATATGTCAAAACAGCTAGACCTTCCGCGACGGTAATTTTGCTACCGTTGTCTCTTGTTCTGATTTCAATGCGATGGTGGGACAACTTCATACAGAGAAAGAAGTCAGTCACCCCCAAATCTGAAAAACAGAAAGTAGTTACTCGATTCGACAAACCACAATCCTTTACGGATTTACTCAAACGCATCGACACAAACAGAGTTAAAATAGATCTGTTGGTTTCAGTGTGGAAAATAGTTTTAACGTGTATAATTCTAGTTATATTGTTCGGTTCAAGTGGAGG